CTTAAGACTTATATCCCGCTTTCCAGTGCTTTACAATTTCTCTAAAGAGGTTTACAGACTCAGCCTCTTGCCCCCCCAACCATCTGGGCCTGCATTTTACACACCTCGGAAGGACGGAAGGCGGAGTCAACCTTGAGCCTGGTGAGATTCAAACTTCTGGCAGCCTGAAATATTCTCGTCATTGTGCCGCCATGGTGAGGGAGGGAGGAAAAAAAGGGTGGGAGAGAAAGAAAGGAAAAAAGCAGGAGCACTTAGACTTATATACCGTTTCACAGTGCTCTCCAGTTCCCTCTAAGCGTTTTACAGAGTCAGCCTCTCGCCCCGCAACAATTTGGATCCTCATTTTACCCACCTCGGGAGGACGGAAGGCTGAGTCAACCTTGAGCCGGTCAGGATTGAACTCTGGGCAGTGGGCAGAGTTAGCTTGCACCACTGCATTGTAATAAATGTGCCACCATGGCTTGCTTGCTTCCTTCCTTCCTTCCTTCCTTCCATCCTTCCTTCCTTCCTTCCTTCCTTCCTTCCTTCCTTCCTTCCTTCATTCATTCATTCATTCATTCATTCATTCATTCATTCATTCATTCATTCCTTCTTCCCTTCCCTTCCCATCCTCCCTCCTTTCCTTCCTTCCCAAGCTACAGCAGACTTATATACCGCTTCATGGTGCTTTACAGCCCTCTCTAAATGGTTTACAGAGTCAGCCTATTTGCCCCCAAACAATCTGGGTCCTCCTTTTACCCACCTCGGAAGGACGGAAGGCCGAGTCAACCTTGAGCCTGTTGAGATTTGAACTGCCAAACTGCAGGCAGCCGGCAGTCAGCAGAAGTAGCCTGCAGTACGGCACTCTAACCACTGCATCACCGTGGCTCAGACACAGATTAACAGAGTTGGAAGGGACCTCGTAGGTCACCTAGTCCAACCCCCCCCCGCCCAAGCAGGAGACCCTACCCCATTTCTGACAGATGGCAGTCCAGTCTCTTCTCGGAAGCTTCCAGCGATGATGCTCCCACATCCTAACATTTCAGCAGCTGTGTCGAGGGACACGAAATCCTCCGGACTCAACTGTAGCAAACGTTGTTCGGGGTGGGGTGGGGCCGGGAATGGTGGTTTTTTTCCTCCTCCAGAGGCATCTTTGAACCTCCAGAAACCTTGAGTGGAATTTCTTACGTGTTTTCCTGATTGTGGGGAGGGAGCGACTTAAGCGAGTCGCTTGCGGTTGTGAAATCAGTTAGGAAAGGAATTCGGCTGCCCCGCTGACTTTGCTTCTCAGAAGGTGACAGAAAGGGGATCCCGTGATCCCAGGCCGATGCCACTGTCATAAATGTGAATCGGTTGAGTGTTGATCACCTGGCCGTGGGGGATGCCGCAACGGTCGTTAAGCGTGGAAAAAGGGTTGCAAGTCATTTTTTTTTTCAGTGGCGTGACTTTGAACGGGCACTAAATGGATCATTGTAAGTTCAGAACTACCTGTGTTTTAACAGTGCCGTTTTGTTCCGACCCAACCAGAGCAAACACAGACAAAGTCAGCAGCCCCCACCTTTTAAGGTTTAATAACGAATTCTGTTCTGAAGGCTGCTTTCCATTAATTAGCTCCGACAAAAAAGAGCCTTGCCAAGTTGTTTGTCAAAGTTGCCAAAATACCCAGAGATAAGAACTAATTTACAAAATTCTCCAAACACGAACTAAGATGTCCACCAGTTGAGCTTCAGAGCTTCTTTGCTGTCTGCAAAGAACGCTTTTCCAAACCTGGCTTTTATCCTCTTGAGGGAGGCGCCATCACCTTGTAGCCTTACTCCCGAGTCACCTGTGCTGCTGTAATTGTTCTTTCCTCCAAGTAATCCTTCGTGAATGTGCACTTGGCACAGGCTCCTCGGGAATCTCCTCATCACTGCTGCCAGCCCCCACAATCTCTGAAGGCAGCAGTCCACTCCTTGATAGTCCTGGCCCCTTATCAGAGTCATCACTCTCCTCAGCCATCTGCACTTGCTGCCGGCTAACCACAACACATTTCCCTGCACAGGACTAGACTGGTTTTGGCAAGAGCTGCTCTCCTCAGAAGTGCCCAGGCTTCTGGAAGATCTCCTGGGTGATCCCGAGAGCTACGTGCGTGCCAGCGCCGTGAGGACCTGGGGCCGTTTCTCCCTCATGGCCTACTCTGGCCCAGAAGCGCCTGTTTGCAAAAGCAATGAAAACCCCAAAGAGGTATGACACTTGTTGTGATGACCCTGGGTGTAACACAAAGGCAACGCAGCCAGAGAATAAGTAGGAGTCCCTTTATTAGCTCCAGCTTTGCCCCTAATGTCCCGGTTACTCTCCAGTCTGGAGAAAAAAGCTCCCACAAACCTGCAACAGCCTTTGGCTGCAGATATTCCAATCCAAATATTGTAAAAAGAAAACTTTAAATTACAAATCCAACAAGGCAAAATAAGGTAATAAATCCGGCAGGGCAAGGTAAGGTGTTCCAGAAGTGAAGTAACACGGCAGTAAATCCAACCAGTTGGGAGAATGCCAGGAACTCAGATAACCGCAGCCCACACAAGATAAACTCAGCAATTGTTCCCAACAACCACCCCTCCCAACTGCCTCTCCTTTAAACTCCCTCCCCAGCTGTGCCTTGTGAAGGGAATCAGGGCCCTTTCCTCCCCCGTAAGCCACGCAACCCACATTACTCCCTTCTCTGTTTCTGCGTTCCTGAGGATGAAGAGGGAGGTGGGACTGGGTCTTCCTCTGAACTCCCTTCCCTTGTTCTGCCTCTCCCCTGCTCTGCCCAGCTGGACTTTGCCCTTCCCCAGATTCCTCCACAGCCAGTAGAGCCACACTCCCGCTCCCTGTCGGCTGTCGAGTCTTCAGACTCGAAGGGGGCATGACACTTGTGTGCAACCTGGGGCTCCAACTCCCCTTTTCTCTACGCAGAGATGCCAAGTTTCCCTTTTGAGATTCCGTCTGTCTCCTTGTTCCCCAGCTCTGCATCGGTGGCGTTCGCTTGCTGGAAATCTTGTCTTCGGACGCCGAAGGTTTCCCTCGACGAGCTGCCATCGGCGTCTTCCTTGACTGGCTGAAGGAAGGACACCCCGAGGCCTCGGCAAGCCCCGCCGAGTTTGTTTCCCGAGCTCTTCAAGCCGTGGATGGAGACCTAGATTGGGAAGTCAAAATGGCCGCTCTGGACCTGGTGGGAGTTTTCATCGGCCAGACGTTCGGCCGGCTCGGGCAGAGCTCCACTTCAGCTGGTTCTTCGCTTGCCAATCTTGCCGACGTGCTGCGGCTCTTTGGCCAAATGAAAATGTTGGGCTTCCTTTTCAGGGCCCTCCAAGACTGCGACAGGCCAGTGGCGGTCAAGGCCTGCGAGGTCCTTTTGGCTCTGAAATCTGCTGTTTGCAAACACCGGTCGAAATCATCACCGTCGGGAGATGCTTCCGGGCTAAAGGAAGTTCCCACGGAGAGCTCCTCCTCTTCTCTCTCCAGCCTTCCTGCCGGGGAGGCCGCTGAAAAGGACTGCCAGGATCCCGAAAGGCTGCGCCGGATCCTAGAATTCACAGACCTGGAGGGTTTGCAAAGGGCTTTGGACGTGAGCAGCGATCACCTGGAGAGGAGCCC